CTCCCGCTGCCGCCGCTGCGCGATTTCTTTTCTCATCCTGAAGCAAAGTTCTTAACCCGAGGTAATATTTCAGGGTTAGCAGAGTCTGTAACATGAAGCGTCTGTAACTTGAAGCGTCTGTAACCTGAGGTACCACTGTATAAAGTTGGGCTTTGCACAGTAGGCTACTCCTCTCTCTCTCTCTCATAGAATTGTAGAGTTGGAAGGAACCCCAAGGTTCATCCAGTCCAACCCTCTGCAATGCAGGAATCTCAGCTAAACCGTCCATGACAGATGGCCATTCAACCCAGGGCCGTCTTAAGTATATCCGGCGCCGTGGTGAAAAGATCCCTCCGGCGCCCCTCCAACCCGTTTCCCAGAGTTAGCGACCTTTTTACGGCGCTGTCTGCAGCTTTGCGGGGCTGGAGGAGGCGGGCAGTGGCTGGAGGGTGGCTCCTCTGGTGGGGAAGAGGCGGAGGCTCCGGGTGCAGCACGGCTTCAGCGAGGCGGGTGAGCTGATGCTGGGAGCCACTGCACCCAGCCTCTGCCTCTTCCCTGGCGCCTGTGCCACGGTGGTCACGGCAGGCGGAGGCTCCAGGCGTGTTGCTGCTTCAGTGTGGCATGGCAGAGGCAGGTGAGGGCAGTGAGCTGATGCCGGGAGGCGCCGTGTCCAGCCTCTGCCTCTTCCCTGGTGCCCTCCAGAACTTGGCACCCTGGCGCCCTGCGCCACTTGCCTCTATGGGCAAGACGTCCCTGATTCAACCTCTGCTTAAAAACCTCCAAGGAAGGAGAGTCCCAAGGGAGACCGTTCCACTGTTGAAGAGCTCTTATTGTCAGAAAGTTCTTTCTGATGTTTAGTTAGAATTTCCTTTCTTGTAACTTGAAGCCACCGGTTTGGGTCCTATCCTCCAGGGCAGGAGAAAACAAGCTTGTTCCATTTTCCAGGTGACAGCCTTTGAGATATTTGAAGATGGCTATCCTATCTCCTCTCAGTCTCCTCTTTTCCAGGCTAAACATACCCAGCTCCCTCAAACAACCATTTCTCATAAGACTTGGTTTCCGGACCCTTGATCATCTCAGCTGACCTCCTCTGAACAGATAAGCACCTCTCTCTATCCTCCATCCTTCCAAGCAAGCAAGATATTTTATCAGAGGACAAGGACACGATCCAGCCAGGCAAGATCATTCCAGGAGGCGGTGAAGGGCTTGTGGAGCGAGGGTGTGTCCTTGGGACATTCCCAGGGGCCAGATCGACAGCCTAGAAGGCAGCATTTGGCCCCCAGGCCTTGCATTCCTCACCTGTGCTCTAACCACTCCACACTGCTGAGGGTGCAGGCTCTTTGCATGTGTGGGGTCTTATTAAAATGACAGAGGATCTGAACCCAAAGATCCCTGTAAACTGTAGTTTGTTAAGGGTGCTGGGAATTGTATCTCTGTGAGGGGTTTGCCTAACAACTCTCAGCACCCTTAACAAACTACAATCCCCATGATTCTTTGCGGGAAGCCATGACGATGTTAAAGTGGTATTATGAGTGCTTCAAATATATGATGTAGATGGGGCCAAAGTCTCATTTTCAATAGCAGCACTTTGAGAGCTCGAATAAGGGCAGCTGTGTCCATTTGCCTCCTCCTCTCTCTCCATTCCTGCCCTCTGCAATTTTTAAATTACATGTTCGGCAAAGGTTTTGCCTCTGCGAAACGACCTTGTTAATTAAAACGTCGATCTGGGCCCGGGGAAGGGAGGGAGCCCTATGCTGGGGAAAACAGATGGTGACTTCTAGACTGGTGTCACCACATGTCAGAAAGAGCCAAGCTGATTGAAGGCCACACAAGAAGAGACAGAGAGGAGGAAGGGGAGACCAGACAGCTCTCCGCGTAGGGAAGCCAATCACTGGGCAAGATGCCTTGCTTTGTTGCCATCTCCACTCGCCAAATTAAAAGCTCTTTTACTTTGTTTCAGGTCCCCCCCTCCAAATCTGACAGCGCAGTAGAATTGACAGCCAACTCTGTGAGGTGGGGGGAGGAATCTTCTGGCTGTCAGTGTTTGGCTTTTGTGCCAGCTGCAATAATATCTAGGGCAAGGCAACTCAAAGTGCTGGTTTTAGATGTTAAAGGAGGAATGAGGAATCTCAGACCCAGGGGATAAACATCTCTAGATGTCTCTAGATGTCTAGAGAGCCAGCGTGGTGTAGTGGTTAAGAGAGGTAGGCTCATAATCTGGTGAACCGGGTTCGCTTCCCCGTTCCTCCACCTGCAGCTGTTGGGTGACCTTGGGCCAGTCACACTTCTCTGAAGTCTCTCAGCCCCACTCACCTCGCAGAGTGTTTGTTGTGGGGGAGGAAGGGAAAGGAGATTGTGAGCCGCTTTGAGACTCCTTAGGGTAGTGATAAAGCGGGATATCAAATCCAAACTCTTCTTCTTCTTCTCTATTCGGCCCTCCAAACCTCTCTGTTTGGCCCTTGGGACTCTCTCCCCATGCCAAACACCCTCCATAGCCACACCCCTCTCTCTAGGCCACACCTTCTTTGTACCCTCCTTAAGTTTTTGCCTGGCCGGAATGTGTCCTTCAACTCTGATAATGCTTTTTCCTTCCTTGCATAGAGGATAGAGAGGGGCGTGTGAGTGTGGAATCTAGTCTACAAGGCAAAATTGACAAGTGCTGTTCCTCCAACTTTTGCCTCTGGTCCCGCCCACCACTGCCATGTGCTCCCTGGAACGTTGAGCATGAGGCTCTTAATCTCAGGGCCATGAGTCCGAGCTCCACATTGGGGCAAGAAGATTCCTGTATTGCAGGGGGTTGGATTAGATGACCCTCAAAGTCCCTTCCAACCCTACAACTCTATGATTCTGTAATTCTAGGACTTTAACTTCTGTTTGGTAAGTGCGTATAAGAATCACCAGTGTGTTTCCAGGTCGATTCAAGACGCTCACATGAGTGTTTAAATTCCTAAATGACTTAGGCCCCGAGTACCTGAAAGGCAATTTCCATCCCTAACAACCTGTTAAGATCTGCAAAGGGGATTCTTCTGGTAGTTCTGTTGTTGGAGTTTAGTAAATATATTGCAGCAGTATGCAGAAATGAATAGTTTGGTATGGGGGGGAGGTAAAGGACCCCTGGACGCTTAAGTCCAGTCAAAGGTGACTATGGGGTTGTGGTGCTCATCTCGCTTTCAGGCCGAGGGAGCCGGCGTTTGTCCACAGACAGCTTTCCAGGTCATGTGGCCAGCATGACTAAACCACTTCTAGCACAACAGAACACTGATGGAAACCAGAGCGCATGGAAATGCCATTTACCTTCCTGCCACAGTGGTACCTATTTATCTACTTGCACTGGCGTGCTTTTGAACTGGTAGGTTGGCAGGAGCTGGGACAGAGCAACGGGAGCTCATCCCATTGTGGGGATTCGAACCACCGACCTTCTGATCGACAAGCCCAAGAGCAGGGGTCAGCAAGGTTTATCTTGCCTGGGCTGGATCGGTTCCGCAGAGATCCCTCCATGGGCCGGATTGCAGCCCCGTGATTTTTGGCATTTGTGTAGATGTGATTTCTGGCGCTGCGGAAGTGAATCCCCGTGCCGTGCTGGTTTAGCGCAGCGCACGAGTGGGCAGCTTAGTTCGTGGGCTGCTCGTGAGCTGGTCAAAGGATCTCCTCAGGTCGCTTCCGACCCATGGGCCTTAGGTTGCTGACCCCTGTCCAAGAGGCTCAGTGGTTTAGACTACAGTGCCATCCGTTACTCAGTCTGGTAAGACTGCTGGTTGAAGAGATAAAGAAAACTAAGGGCTTGTCCATGCTTCCATGTGCTGTGTCTAGAAAGCACGGGTCTGAGCAGTTTCCCCCTTGCCCCTGCTAACTTCTCTGTGGCCCTTTTCATGCCTTTTCTGGTTCTGGGAGAGGAAAGCTGGTTGCAGCAGGAGGGGAGACACCTGAGAAACTTCACCAGCCAGATTCAGCTCTGCCTATCGGCCTCCCTCATCTCACCCTCCTGCTCCAGCTTCTGCCTCCGATTCTGGCCTTCTCTCTGCCACAGACTCTCCCCGCTCACTGAGTCCTGTTACCCCTCCAGCTTCCGACACCTCCTCCTCCCAGTCTTCTCTCTCTGACCACTCATGGTTGTCCCACCACCCATCCCCGTGCTCTGAGCCTTCTTCCCTTGGGGGTTCCCCAGCTGGTACCTCCCACCATTCTTCTGCGTCCAACCAGTCCAGGACAACCTGTGACCTTACGGTGACGGGCTGGTAAGAAATCTTACAAATAAATGCGAATAAAGCAAGTCCGGCTCTCAGCCCACAAATCTGTTCCCCTCTATGCAAACCTTATTTTTCACCCATCAGAGGTGAGGCCCTTCTGGGAACTGGGCCCTTGAGTGGGAAGGATCCCACCCCCACCAGAAATAAAACAAACAGATGACTTTCTTGACTTCCCTTGCCAGCTATCTGAGACTTGAGTTCCTGGGGTGATCCATCATTTGGCACACCAAAGGAAATGTCAAGAACAATTAAGAGAGACCGGCGGCTTTAACTTTATCAGAGTCAATATGTCTTCTTTAATGAAATGCTGGGGGGAGGAGTGGGGGAGTGGAAAGTGCTGACGGTAAAAGCATTATTTCACCTCCCAGTCATTTGCAGTCTGCAGTTTTCATTCAGGGAAATGAACAGGACCTGCCAATTTAGGGTCTCTCCCTTTCTAACTTTTCCAGCCTTAAATTCAGTTCTCCACATTTTGCAGCAATCTGCAATTTGGTGCTTTTTTTTTTTTTATGAAAACCCTCATGGAAATTCATCAGCATGTTAGTGCATTTTTATAAGCAGTTTTGACTAATGTACAGATTTTTGCATAATGCAACTTTTTACATTATTTCACCAATAGTCATCACTTTTTATGCATGCTAATTTATATGCATTACTGTAAACCTTGTTTGGTTGGAGAAATGCAATGTAAAGCTTTATATAAGCACAAATCATAGTACTGGAATGGACTGTGAGGATTATTCTCATCCAACCCCCTGCAATGAAGGAATCTTTCGTTCATTGTGGGGCTCAAACCCATGGCCGTAAGATCAAGAGTCCCATGCTGCCCCGACTGAGCTATCCATAGTTGAACAATTCAAAGCATGATTTGCATTATATCCGTGTCTGAAATAAGGATGGAGCTATGCAGAGGCATTGGCTGGCTTCCTGTTTTCCCCCACATTGTAATTTTTGCATAATAATAAAATGGTAATAGTAATATTATTATTATTATTAATTATTTATATCCCGCGCATCTGGCTGAGTTTCCCCTGTCACTCTGGGCAGCTCCCAATTGAGTGTTAAAAACAGTACAGCATTAAATATTAAAAACTTCCCTCAACAGGGCTGCCTTCAGATGTCTTTTAAAATTAGGATAGCTGCTTATTTCCTTTACATCTGATGAGAGGGCCTTCCACAGGGCGGGTGCCACTACCGAGAAGGCCCTTTGCCTGGTTCCGTGTAACCTCATTTCTCGTAATGAGGGAACCGCCAGAAGGCCCTCGGCGCTGGATCTCAGTGTCCAGGCTGAATGATGGGGGTGGAAACGCTCCTTCAGGTATACAGGACTGAGGCTGTTTAGGACTTTAAAGGTCAGCACCAACACTTTGAATTGTGCCTGGAAACGTACTGGGAGCCAATGCAGGTCTCTCAGGACCGGTGTTACTGTATATGGTCTCGGCGGCTACTCCCAGTCACCAGTCTAGCTACCACATTCTGGATTAATTGCAGTTTCTGGGTCACCTTCAAAGGTAGCCCCACATAGAGTGCATTGCAGTAGTCCAAGCGGGGGATAACCAGAACACCCACCACTCTGGCGAGACAGTCCACGGGCAGGTGGGGTCTCAGCCTGCGTACCAAATGAAGCTGGGAGACATAGCGCGCGCACACACATACACACGGCCAGATTTAGGTTTGATGAGGCCCTAAGCTACTAAAAGTAATGGGGCCGTGTATATGTCCAGCTGTCCTTTTTGAACAACAAATTGTCGCTCTTTTCTGTTTTGAATATATGCTATATGGTAATTTATGGACCTAATAGGTATCTAAAGTGCATAACAAATGTGCAAATAACAATTTGCGGGGCCCACTACTTACACCATAGGAGCCAACACAACACAACACAACACAACACAACACAACACAACACACTGTCTCTGTATGTAGGTTTTATTTTATTTGTTTTATATCTTTTATTTTGGAAATGTACATCCAGGTTTTCTTTTCCTTTAATTTTTTTGGGGGGCCCCCCAAGAGAGTGGGGCCCTAAGCTATAGCTTGTTTTGCTTATACGTAAATCTGGCACTGCACACACATAATGATTTGTGATATATTGCTAGGTCAGGAATTAGGAAACCAATATCACAACATGGACTTCAATCTGGCTTTGAATGATATATCAATATGTAATCCAGCCCTAGAGAAGGCGTGGCCTAAGGAGCGTTCCGAGAGTCACATTTAGATCCTGCGCTTGTCCTCTCCCCATTCATGCTTTAAAGACTAGGAGTGGCTTTCTGTCTTTGCCTTGTCAACAGATCAGAAGTCTTTAATGGTTGCCTTCCAGGTTCCACATTCTAGAACTTCTCACTCAAATCAGGAACCTCAGAGGGGCTCACCTGTTGACCCAGCCTGCCTAGCAAGGACACCCGCTGCTCAAAAATGCCTGAGAGCCATTTGCAGAGAAACCTGTGAACGAAAACCGCCCTGCGCTTTTGTTATATTTAGCGCTTACAGATGAAACGCAATCAAAGGAAATATTTGAAGAGTGCATGTTTGCTCTTAAAAGGAAGGAGAACCTTTCATTAAGAAGGAAGATAAGCTCTCTTTGGCTTTGTTCTCTACAAATGCGGTGTAAATAATGGAGCATCTTGCCTGACAAATAAGGGAAAGAATCTCCTGTTTCTCCCCGTGATTCGATTCCAACAATAAAAGCAAAATTTGCCTCATAGAGTTGTAAAAATATCTCCAGGAAAGACAGCTTAGCTCTCAGTCCCAATATTGATTAGTAAATGGGTTCTGTCGTAGCTCATGGTGTATCAAACATTGTTTAATTTGGGCACAATTGATTCCTTGTAAGGCTCTTGATACAGAGTTAAGTGGCATGCTTTCCGTGAGGTTTTTTTGGGGTTTGGGTGGGGGAGAAAATGCTGTTTTAAAATAAATCTAACAGGCGTTTGAGTATGAAAACATTTTGCACATTGGTACACAAGGAGTGAGGGAGCAAGAGGACCTTCGAAGGAGGAGATGCTCTGAAATATTTAACAAACTCCCCTCTTATTCCCCCAACTGCATGTTTTATTTAGCGAATCTCAGAGAAATGTAATTTATATTCTGTGGTTTGCTCTCGTCCCAAGGTCCTTGGCCTCAACAAACAAACAGGGCTGCTCAAAGAGATCCATTGTTGTCACTTCTAAATGTGAAGCTCATTAAAGAAAATGTCTGGATTACGGGGGTGGTAGCACTGGTGGATAAGTGTTTTTTTTCTTCTTTTTCTTTTTAGATAACAGCTAAAGAAAGGGGAAGATGAAATATCAGCCCAACATCTTCTTTCATCTTGGCATATGTTTTCATCTATGGCTCAACTGACAAAGCCATTCCTTTGAAAATGTTATTTGATTAAAGAGACTTCATTCAGGTGCTTTGGCAATGTGTTCTATGAACATAAAAACAATCTTATTGGATCAAACCCATGGTCCCACTTAACCCAGGATCCAGGATCCAAGCTCCTGAACTCACAGGTGAAAACCTAGTTTCTTCGTTTCATAAAATATATACACCGTTTGATTGCAAAATACCCCCACCCCCCAGTGATTTACAAAAAGTATAAAGCAACTCTACTATTGCGTGGCGAGGCCCCAGGGCCCACAGTTCCCTTAGATAATAAACACATGGACACAAATATTTAGGTTAATGGGATAAAATAGACAGACAGGATCCACACCCCTAGATCCCTTTAACAGAATACTCTTACTGAGGAGGGGCAGGAGGAAGCTACAACCACCCCTCCCATAACAAAGGCTTACCCAATGCCTAACCTTGCAAAGTTGTGACGATTGCTACAAGGTAGGTGAAAACCAAATGGCTGGTGCCAATTTGCCAAGTGGAAAAATTCCTACCTGGCCCCACCAATATGGCGGCCGACATTAGTCCATGGCAAGGCTGCTGTCATAGCAACACATAAAAAGAGGGCGGGTGGGCTGGGAGATCCGGCAAGGAGGTGAAAGGAGGATGTTGCAGTTTAAATAGCAAGCAGCCACACCCTCGGCTGTGCCGATTGGTCAGCTGGGGGCATGACGCAGCTGGGAGTCCCGATGACACGGGCCGCATCCCTCTGCTCTCCAGCTGGGTCACTGCTCACCGGGGAACATGAGCGGACTTCTGTGATTATAAGTCATTGGCAAAGCCTGCTGAAAACGACTAAAACATTTTAAAGAATTAAAACTAGCGATAAACTAAAAACAGACTAAAGCGCACTACATCTAGGCTTATCTAAACAAAAATGTTTTTAGCAGACACTGAAAGGGGTACAGCGAATGTGCCTGACTGATGTCAGTAAGCAGGGAATTCCGTAGAATCCTGAGTGCTGTCACCCTAAAAGATTGATTTCTTACAAATGTGGAACAGGCAGCTGGAACAGTGCCAGTTCCACAGATCAAAGTGGCTGAGTGGGCATATATGGGGGTAAGGTGATCTCACAGATAAATGGGACCTAAGTTAGGAATGAAACCAATTTCTCAAGAAATGCTTTCCAGGGGCAGTAACAACAACAACAATGACCATAGATCTGGATTATGTGCGGACTACATAGAAAAAGCTAGTAGGCAGTCTCCATTGATTCTAGAATATAATGTTGGGTTTATGCAGCAATGTCTTACATTCTTTGCTAATCCTCCCACTTCAGAAATGAACTGACCCTTGTTTCTACGCCCCAAATCGGCCAGAGGTCCATCAGTAGATCCCAGCTTTCCATAAACAGATCCTTGCTCTGAAAAGAAATTGCATAGTGAAAAATCTCAGAATGGGCACCTAGCAACAAAACACTCCGCATACCAAAAGTGTGTTGTGAACCACCGTAAGATCTATAGGTATAGGGAGATGTACAAGTTTAATAAGTAATAATGATGACGCTAGTCCACATGAAACCTCCATGTGCCTTCCAGGCAGCTCTATCCGGGATCACGTGGTATCTGGTATCGCTTCCACACCCACCCTGTTGCTGGCAAAGGGACCAGCTAATTAATTAAGCCAAATGCATGATTAATTTTCCACAGTGCCGGTGTCGAGCAGTCATTAAGAGCAACCGTGTAAGCTTAAGTCTCAGATGCCTTTTTGCCAAAAGAGGCTAATTACGACTTAATTGCTTGTGTAATTTTGATAGAACGGCATGACAGAGGAGGGGAGACTGCTCCGCTGAGAGCCCACAGAGACCTCAGGAGAGTGAGACCAGCTTTAATACGCCTTTATTGAATACGTAAATTAAGACATTGGAGACATAGGGCGGCAGGTGGGCTGTACTGGAGATGAGTCCTTCTGGTGCATGTGTGGGGTTTTTTTTAATGCGCTCCCAGCTGTCTCGTGGTATCTGCGATGCAGTCATGTTATCTGCCAAATCTCCCCATTGTTCTGGAGATGTCTCTGTAGCTGCCTGTTGCATCTTTGTGTATTTAGCTCGGAAAGCTGGCGACTCGGCTTGCTGGTGCTTGAGTCATTTCCCTCTCCCAACCTCTCCCGTGTCCATACAACACTGTCCAAGCATTGTGCGTGCTGGACCAACATCGATATCCAGAACGATAGATGCAGCCAGCTGTGCTGGAGGCAAAAGCTGAACATGAGTTGTATGTGTTCAAGGGCTCCTCCAATCTCTTTATTAGTGTAATGGAATGGCTAGATGCAGAGAAATGGCTTCAGCGACTGTGGGAAAGCTTCAGTCAGGCGGCAGACGTACCAACCCCCACAGCAGGCTGCCAAGAACGGACAAGACAAGGAAAAGTCCTTACCATCTGCTTTTATTCAATATTCACAGAGAGAGGCTTGGGAATGCAGCCTCTCAGAATAATGGCGTTGCTCCGAGTGAATCTCCACCC